TCGTGTGCGGAGGCGAAGCAGGCGGGCTACTTGCCTCATGAGTGCAGTGATGCAGGGTTCACATTCAGCGAGGGGAAACAGTCTGGCTATCGTCACAACGAGTACTGCTGGACGCAGGGGGCTTCGCAGGGGTACAGCAAACTGGAGTACAACCGTCAGTATGGAGAGCAGCACAACCGTTGGTGAGCTGTCAATTCTCAGACGTCAGATGGTGGCGGCCCCACCTGTGGCCCCTGGCCCCTGGCCTGCTCCCTGGCCCTGACCCCCGCCCCCCTGCCTGCCTGCGCGCCCCATGGCACGTGCAAAAGGAAAGAAGTATCGCGGTGTATTTAATAAACTTAAATCTCGGAAGGTTCTGGGGGGAGGCACCGGCTCTCGCTGCACTAAGACCCCGGCTGTCGGTAGCCGGTCGGCCTACCATGCTCATGGTCACCCGTCGAAGAAGGTGCGCAGGAAGGTGGTGCTCTGCCGCCACGCCGCGATTTGTGGCGTCTCTCGTCGCTCTATCTGCCCCATGTCCTTCCAAAAGGCGTGCCCAACGCCTTCGTAACAAGTAACATCGTGCTCGACCCCAGCCTCTGCCAGCGCCGACCGGAAGCGCGCCGCTGCCGCTCGGTTTGTTGTTGGCTGCGGGTCCTCCGCCCCATAGATGCCGCACACGGGAGCGCTCAGTGCGGCCAGAGCCTCGACCTTGAGTACCGGCTCGCCATAAAACACGAACGTCGCCGCGTCAGGGCGCATTGTAGTCGTAAAGCCAATCGCCTTGCCACCTCCAAAGCAGAAGCCGAGCACCCTAACTGGGAAATTCTCCGCTACACCGTCCTGCGATGCGGCCCAGCGCAGCACCGCGGCCAAGTCTGTGTTGACGCGCTGCTGGGGTGTGGACAGCGCAAGCCAGATCGCCTTTGGCACGAAGTCGGTGGTCTCACCGCGAAAGCAGTCAGGCGCGATGCACAGGCAGCCCAGCTCGTCAGCGAGGCCCTGTGCTTTGTCCACAATCGAGCCGGAGAGTCCCCAGAACTCGTGAAGCACGAGCAGCACTGGCAGGGCCCCACGGCGGCACCTTTGGCCGCGCCGCAAACGCCAGAATCTCACGGTCTTCTTCGGCAGGGACCTTCACATTCGCCAGATCCTCGAGTAAGGATTCCTGGCGGCCGCTCGAACAGGTGGTGCGTTGTTTGCGCTCTGGTCCGTAAAGAAGATGCCGCCGAGGTCAAAGTCAGCCATCGCGTTGTGCTGGGCGTGTCTGGCGGCGCGGGAGGCGGCGGCACAGCGCTCGGTGAGACGATCGGGCACAAGGGGTGACGTGGGAATGCGATGCAGACAATGGGTTTAGGATGTGCGCATTTCCGCGCCTTCGAGGAGAGGAGGGCGGGAAGAGCTCTTCGCGGCTAAAAGCGTTTTCTTTTTCTTCTTTTTCGAAAGAAGCCTCCAAATCGACGACCCTGGCTGCTGGTGAGCTCAAGCAAAGGGGAGAGCAAACCTCTTCTTCTTGTTCCACAACTTGCGACGGCAGATTCGTGGCAGGAGGATGCGCGCGGGCCGCTTCTGTTGCTGTGATGGCACGCGGTCACGCCTCGCCGTCTTGCGTGCAATGTGGCGGCCCGCTGGCCCCTGTGGGCTGCGCATGGGAATTTGCGCCTGGGCCTGGCCCTGACAACCCCCCTGCCTGCCTGCGCGCCCATGGGCCACATGGCACGTGCATAAAAGAAACAATTATCCCCTGTGTATTTAATAAACCGAAATCTCGGAAGGTTCTGGGGGGCACCGGCAGTCGCTCACTAAGACCCCGGCTGTCGGTAGCCGGTCGGCCCACCATGCTCCTGGTCACCCGTCAAAGAAGGTGCGCAGGAAGGTGGTGCTCTGCCGCCACGCCGCGATTTGTGGCGTCTCTCGTCGCTCTATCTGCCCCATGTCCTTTCAAAAAGGCATGCCCAACGCCTT